TCGAAATTGGTATGTGATAAAGGGTGTTGATAAGAACTCCCAAGTTGATCTGGTCCCATCAGATTAAAAACGTGCCATTTCAATATCAGTATTTGACTGGAGGTCTGCATCAGGGATTGCTCTTACAACTTTATGTCATTGCAACTCTTCCAAAGGGCCCTGTTTAGACTTTGCCCCTTTTTGCCTTCTTTTTTTTCAAAAGAAGAGTACACAGTTCAAATTCATGTTATGCCTATTCTGCTCTGCTGGGTTTTTATTTTATTTTATTTTTTTGTTTTGTTTTTACTATGTTGACTTCTCAGCAATGGACAAAACAGAGTTCCCTGCCTCTTTCCGTGCTGCTGCTGGTTCTTTTGCAAATTGGTTTTGGTTTTTTTTGCAAGCAGAAAAAAACTGGCATCTACTGACCTTATATATGACTAAGTTGCTATGCCTCCCCAAAAATATATTTGTGTCTGAAAATTTGCAGTTTGTTTGGGGGACAGGATTCAAATTGAATAAGACAGGAATAACTCAACCACCCTAGAGATGATATAAGATAGGGCTGTCCAAACTTGGGAACTTTCAAACTTGTCGACTTCAACTCCCAGAATTCCCAAGCCAGCATGTCCACAAGTTTTAAAGTTCCCAAGTTTGGACACCCCTGCTATAGGATTTACTGTTTCACAAACAGGCTTCAACTAACTGTAAAGGAAAATAATATACCCAAGTGCAATTTGTAAACACTAGCATTCTTCAGCATGTAACTGGGAAAAGACCAATCATGACAGGGGTAAATAGACAGGAAGCAGCAGCAGACCAAAATTAGAACCCATAACAATAGTTTCATGGCTACTTGGATGGATCAAAGTTGCCCTGAACCCATTGCACATATCCAAAAAGATTGAGATAAGCATCAAAATTGGTTAAGGCAGCCATGCCAGATTGTAAAGAACAAGAAAAAATGTATAGGCAAAATGATGAGGATACAACTGAAAATGCCTCCTGAATTTCCTTGTACTGGTCAAACCAGCCTGCTACCTTTAAATGAGGCAAGGGATATGCTACATTTGGCTTTTGCACATGGAAAAGGGTGACATGATCTTGCTTTATCTGTTTTTGCCTCATTGCACTAACCAGAATGGCAGACTATTAAATGTCATAAGAAAATAAAGAACAACTCTGTGACGACTTAAACTAAACATCTCTTTTAGATGTTTAGCTTTCAGAGTCAAGTGAATAACAGCCAAGTCATTAAAAATATTAGCATATAAGCTTTTTTTCTCCACAGATTTATATTCTCATTTGGTTATTTCAACCATAGCAACATTAAGATCTGTGGATTGCTGGCTGGGGAATTCTGGGAGTTGAAGTCCACACATCTTATAATTGCTAAAGTTGAGAAATATTGTTGGATCATTTTCTTTTTCAGGGATAATATTTATTTCTTTCAGCAAAACAATACGTATGTTACAAATCACTTTCACATAAGCCAGGGATGGGTTTCTGCCAGTTCTAACCTCTTCTATAGAAGAGGTTCCACAAATCTACCGTGTGTTTAGAACTGGTTCCAGCTCCCTCCCCCTGCCCATCCGCACCACACTTGCCCTGCCCGCCGCTCACTGATTGTCTGGCTCACCAATTGCCCCGCCCCCCTCTAACAGTCCTATCTAAACCTTAAAGTCTTAAAGCTATCAAGTTTGAATATCCCTGGGTTTTTTTTCCCTAAAAGGTTAGGGGTGCAAGGGTCTTGTAACTTGACAGCTTTAAGACTTGCACACTTCAATACCAGAGTTCCTGAGCCAACATGACTAAAGAAGGAAATCTGTGAGTTGAAGTCTACAAGTCTTAAAGCTGTCAAGTTGGAACATCCCTGGTTTTTTTTTTCTAAAGGGTTAGGGGTGCAAGGGTCTTGTCACCTGACAGCTTTAAGATTTGCGTGCCTCAAATGTCAGAGTTTCTGAGCCAACATTTTGGTTGCTAAGTAAGAGTGTTGTTAAGTGAGTTTCACAACATTTTACAAGTTGGCCACGCCTACCCAGTCACATGACTGCCAAGCCACTCCTACTCAGTCACATGGCTGGCAAGCCACTCCCACCCAGTCACATGGCCTATTGAACTATTGACATTTTTGTCGCTGTCTCATGTGGAACTATTTGGTTGTACCAAAATTAAAGAGGAAAACACAGAAACCTCCAAATGTCATGTGTCTTGTTAAAAGCGGGATAAAAACTTAATAGAAAATATTCTTCCACCAACAGCCTATTTAATAGCATTTCTGTTTAAAAAGAAAAACAACTTTACCCTAGTCACAGTATAACACTGCCTTTTTTTAATCTATTAACCAATAGATATGCTGAAGTTCGCCAATAGAAACAAAACATCTGCCAGTCACAAATAACTTACTGAATCAGTATAACAAAGTGAATGTCTTTTTTAAAAAGCTTGATCACAATTTAGGGGGCCTAGCCTGCACTGAAAAGACTTGGCAACTCGATTCCAGGCCCAGAGAGAAAGAGAAAATGCAGTCATGGTTTTGGAATGCTTCCTTGTTCCTAAGTGATTAGCACAGCCTCCTCCTCCCCCCACCCTCAAGGATTGCCACTAGATGAAATTGAGCGAAACAAGCACAAACAATTTCTTTACAAAAATGTCTCTGGAAGTCACTATCCATAACACATGGCAAGACAGATTTTCAAGAATCCCATTTCAAGGAAATCAAGGAGTAGCTGGGAACCATAACTATCCTGCCAGGCGAAATACTTCTGTTAGAGATCCACATTTTTCTTACTCTGAGGCAGCATATTTTTTTTGCAACACCTCCCCAAAGATTTAGCACATCCCCATTCTTGTCCAAAGCAGGAGAAACCAGAGATTAAAAGATGAAAAGAACAATTTCAACATGCTATTAGAAGTGGATATAAACTAAAGTCCTCACTGAATATTTCCCACCCAAGTTGAGTTTACAAAGGAGGAGGAGTAAGAATGCTACTCTGCTGTCAAACTATTCTTACCTACTCATATGGAACAAACTCCACGGAGGGCCTTCAAACAATTTAAAGCCTAGGCTTTCAAATCTTCATGGACAGAAGAGGATGTCCATTGCATAGTCCATTGCATAGTCAGGGAGCAGAGGCCAATCAGGTGCAGCTACCATGCGTGCCCTCCTTTCTGCTTCCTCAGAAGTAGACCCTATCTTTAATTCATTTGGTGAAATGGAGGATGGTCCTTAGAATATATTTGTTGTTGAGTCGCTAAGTTGTGTTCAACTCTTCACAATCCCATGGACCATAGCATGCCAGCCCCTCTCCACTCTGTCCTCCACTATCTTCCACAGTTTGCTCAAACTCATCCATAGTGCCATTAACACTATGTCAATGACAACCATCTCATCCTATGATTGTATGTATGTATGTATGTATGTATGTATGTATGTATGTATGTATGTATGTATGTA